GCGCAAAAGCTAGACATAGGGCATATATATATATAATATCTTGCGAACAACTGAGGGTCGTGCTCCTGTGTACATGTCATGCCTACTGTTGAACCCTTTTGGATGCAGAACCGTCGTGCGTATGGTAGGGCAGCAAGGATAGAGGCGACCGTTTGGGTTGTTGGTGGAACCTCTTTGCAGGAGAAGGAGACAAGGACCTTGGAAGGCAACGTCTTCGATTCGAGCACTTCATAGAATCCAAGGTGAACTTATTGCAAGGCAGGCCTAGGACAAGATGGAGGAGGCCAATTTGTTGGAGGTGTTGGCAAATGTGGCACAAAGCACAAAGGCAGCAGCAGATGTGGCAGTGGCGGTTCAGAAAACCTTACAGGAGAAAAAAGAGGCTAGTCCAGATTGGTCAAAACTCTTAGCAAAGCCAAGCGTGCTCGACTACAAGAGCCAGGAGCAGGAGATCAAAGCTTTCAGATAGTGGGCTTGGATCTTCGAAAATACTTGGGCTCAGTCGATGAAAACTACACACGGGACCTCCTGGAGATTCAAGACAAGCCACATGACTCCTTCGACATGGACTTAGCTGATGCTGGAGAGAAGAGCCAGGTTATCAAACTATATGGTCTCTTGGCTTCTTTGATTGAGGGGTTAAGCAAGAGCACTTCAGGTTGTGAAGTCAGTGGAGGAGTTGAGCAGCTGTGAAATGCACTTTCGCGAAGGAGGAAAGTGTTTGATGGAAGGTGACGGCCTGAAAGAGCCAATGAGAAGTGGAGTGTGGTAAGGATTCTTGCCGTGATCGTTGAAGTCTTTAGCTTCATTGCAATAGCTGTTGCAGCGTTTCTTCTTTGGAGGACAGTGGATAGAGACTTTGAGGTGAACCGTACATGGCTGGATGATAGAGTGGGCAAAATGGAGAAGAGCATTATAATAGAATTGAGCAGAAGACGAACCTGATATAAGTATATATATATATATATTAATATACATACATGCTATATATATATGTGTGAATGAGCATGTTTGGCCTTTGGATGTGTTTCACTGCGGCCGGACAGGCCTTGAGCATTTGGCTCCAACGGTAGCAAATAGTGTGCGCATTCCGCTTCCTTCGATCTTTCGTAGGTTTTCGGGTGCCGCTATTTACAGTGGCAGCGGAGCCTCAGGTTCCGTGGGCCCGTGCGCGCTTCGCTTGGCTTCGCTTGGTGGTGGCGCTTCTTTGGACTACGCCAGTCCTACGACTTCGACTTGCTGGTCTTTGGCCTTGGCTTGAGGTCATTGACCTGGGACTACGTCTTCTCGGTGGACTTCTTTGCCCTTGTGGACGACTTCGCCCTGACGGTGGACTACGACCGAACTTTTTCACGGAGGTCACTCTGACGGACTTCCTTGGCGGCGTAAAGCCTCTCCCTCGGCCAAGGGATAGAAGGTTGCCTGGTGGTGGACTACATCCTCGTGGAGCTCATGACGGACGAGAAGAAGGATGACCGGGGCTTCGATAGCTACATACCGGTCTGGGACGGCAGAAGCGAGACCCTCAGAGAGTTCAAGAAGGCCGTCCAATGGTGGTTGCACTCGATCGACCTGGAGAAGACCACTTCCTACAACCTGGCCGCAAGGTTTGCCATGCGGCAGAAGGGCAGCGCAAAGTTGAGAGCTTTGGAGTTTGATCCAAAAGAGCTCGAGTACATCCCCGCCGAGAAGGTGAAGGATGAAGAGACTGATGAGATGGTTGAGTTGACACCTGCGGTCTACGACGCTGGAATCCAGAAGATCCTGGCCTCCTGGGATGACATGGTTGGGAGGTCACAGACTGACCGAAAAGGTGAGCTTCGTGAGAAGTACTACCTTCAGCTTCGACGTGGAGGTAGTGAGAGCAGACCGAACTTCGCACTTCGGTACAGAACGCTGGTTGGAGAGATGAAGGCCGAAGGCATCATGGTGGACCCCAGCGAGCAGGCGTGGTTCTTCAAGCAGAAGCTCGCCCTCACAGAGTTGCAGCGGCAGATGCTGGAGACGACTTTGGGGGTGGAGACGGAGGACTACGGTGCCTGCGAGAGGGAGGCTGTTCGCCTCTTCAAGCGAGTCCATTTTGGACATGGGCATGGACCTGGACATGGAGGACCTCAACATGGCGGTCATGGAAACTTCGCTAAGCGACCTACTTCCTTGACGTCTTCTACCTTGTCCCGGTTCCGGAAGAGCTTTCCCTCGACTACTTCGTCTTCAAGCTCTACATGGCGGCGTGGCGGCGGAAAAGGCTTTGGCGGCTCAGTCAATGTCACGGAGTATGAGGACGAGGACCCGCCTGAGTATGAGGCCTTTGAAGCTGAGGAACACCCTGCCGAAGGTGAAGACGATGGTGGTGGAGACTCTGAGAGTCTTGGCGGCTTTGAGGGGCTTCAACAAACCTCTGAGGCCATGGCGACAGAGCTGGATGAGTTGGCAGATGGTTCACAGGCTGATGATGACCTGGCGGCCATTGAGGAACAAGTTGAAGGAGCTGTGGAAG